GAGAGTTATGGCATAGCCACAAAGGACATTCTTTACCTGCACTCAGTCAGAGCCAGAGAAACAGTCTCAGAGAATAAACTTCCTTGTAGTCTCGCATCACTGCTGCACAGGTATCTTCATTTATAGATGTCTACGAAATATGTAGATCAGACAGTAAAGAGATAAATGCATGTATCTTGTACAACATTACCCTATATTGAAGAAGATAGCAAGATATGCTTTGGCCCTCTTTTGGCCAAGGTCCCAGCTATTGTTCCTTCTATCAGCGCATCAACAAGGCAGAAAGGTAGTCACTGAAGAAGAGCATTGCGGGCACAGCCAGCTGTTCAGCATGATACAGAGAAGACATGATGTGGGGGTATCTGGTTGTGCCACTGCCACAGGTGGCATGTGGAGCATGGGTAAAGCAAGTGTCTTTAAGAGGTCTATGGGTGTGCAGTCAGTGCCCCAACCTTGCTGCTTCTCTTACAGGCAGGAAAACCTGAGCAGGGACAAGAAGTGTGGGAGTATGTATAGCAGGGCAAATTAGGGGGAAGTGAAGCTTCAGAAATAACAGAAGGACTCAAAGCCAGAAGCGGATGTGGTGTCTGCTCAGTAGCGTCTTGCTTTCTGCAGTGATTAACTCAGTCCTCACCACAGAGAACCTCTTTTCCTAGTTCCAGCACAGCCCAGGGTCTGCCCAGAAGTGCCTTGGCAGAGGAGAGTTTCAGGGAGCTACAAAGCAGGCTGGGCAGCAAGATCCGGGTACCAGGGAGACAGTAAGATGCAATGAGGAAAGGATGGGAAGCCCCAGCCTCCAGGAACCCCACTTCTGCAGTGCCCCCATACAGAGCCAGACCAAACATTCTGGGGAGAGGTGCCACCTGTCTGCTGAGAAGTCGGTGGAGATGCTCTCCTGTGACAAAACCCAGCCAGTGGTTTCAGATACATATAGAAATATGTGCCTGTTTGCACCTGGGACTTGTATCATAGGAGAAAAAGAGTTTCTAAAGTTGTTTTGGGGGACACGATCTTGTCTTCTCTGGTAAAATTTGTACATTGCCATTGGAGAGCCAAAGAGAATGGAGAAATGGATGGACATGTGCAGGTTTTCTTAGGGCTATTGGATATCTGAGCACAGTGGGAATATTTTCAGGATGGGGGCTGGAAGCAGGTCTGGAAGAGAAAAGGTCAGCAGACTGGATCATGGTGAGGGATGCTGACAGCACCTCCATGTGGACAGAGCTGCACCTATCTGCAGGAACCAGGGGCTGTGGGAGAGTCTGGAGGCAGGCTGGAGAGAGAAAGGAAGTGGGTGGTGAGAACTCAGGGAACCTGAGGGCATTGGGAGGGACTGGTTTTGAGGTGATTGTTTCTGTAGGAGGCTTATTGGAAGGTGTCACCACAAGTAAATGATGGCATTAGCAGAAAGAACATGTATCATTGAATATCTTCTTTGTACCATGTCTACTTGTGCAGCACATATGCTCTTGTGAAAGATGTTCTAGAATATCCACTGTGATAAACATTCAACGACATGCTACGCTCCCTGAAACTTCACCCTCGCAATGACCTTTCAAGTATGTGAGAAACAACACTGAAAATACTAGTCAAAACCAGTATGAAGTAACAGACTATGAAGGTTAACCACCAGTTCCTGCCCAGTGCCAGGTTGGACAACCATAGGGAGTATGTCAAATGAATATGTAAGACTAAATGAATTGTATAAATCAGACACCCATGAATTGACTGGGGTCCCCCCATTAGGGCTTGTCCCGGGGCCACTTTAGGCACATGATTAGAAGTTTTGATCCTTGTAATCCTATACTCTGCATCCAAGTCTCTCTTCTTGGTCAGCAAGAGTCAGCTGCACTTTTGTGACACCACCTAGTGAGCTGCAAATGGATGCTTCCTGGTGTCAATAAATAACCTTACAAGTTGCAGTGCTGATTACTTTCCTGTACAAAGATACTGCTCATGATCACCTCCATTTCTCCTTGCATTGTTTCCTATCTGGTTTTGAAGAGCACAGCCCCACCTATAACTGCAATGCTCCATCCCAGTGACGATGCTAGATGTGGGATTCCTTACCCTAAAACACAAACTAGGAGATCTGTGCTCAGTGTGGTGAATATGCTCCACACCTTGGGGTCTGGGTGCCGCTAGTCACAGACAAATCTTCCCCCTTGAGGGTGTCTGCTTTAATTCTACCTCTACTGGCAGAACAGGAGGGCACTGCAGGTCCTTGAACCTGAAAGCAGCACAAGCTGAGTTACCTCATCTTTAGTAGGAAGGGTCCCGTGCTGGTGATGCAGGAGCCGTGAGGGTATTGGGCTCTGGACCTGGACTATCAGAAAGGGCCTTTCCTTTAAAAGCTTTGGGGCATGGTGGAAGTGCTCCCTGCAGCATCCCTCAGTTCTTGGAAGAATGATATATAACCCCACTGAGATTTGCCAGCTTGGGATCTGTCATGCTCAGTGTGAACACAGATATAGTGTGCACCCAAAAGGAGCATGGACATAAGACCCTTCCTGAGAGACATAGCTATTGGTGGTGCAGGCATCAAGGGTCCAGGGGACCCCTTTATGGCTACCCCATGTTGCTTTGCTGGAGGGACTACAAGCAAAGGGATGCTTGCACTTGCAGTTTGACATGTGAGCTTGGCTTCATTAATGAAGATGAGAAGTGTGGCCGTTTGTGCAGGTGAACTTTGAGTTCAGGATTACTCTGGTGCTTTTGGTTGCACTCAGAGTTCCTGTATCCCGAAGCTAATGGGAAATGGTGCTCAAACAATAAAGTAGGTGCAGGCAAAGGCTGCAGGTCAGACTCATTTTGTGTTTCACTCTGATATGTTTGAGGGCAGCTCTGCTGAAATGTGATTTATATAAGAAATCGTATAAAACTAGTTCTGTTCCTGCTATTACCAAATCAATATGATCCATGTCAGGAACAAGCAACAAACACCAGCCTGTTTCTTTCCTGTTGGTGTCTGCTCTCCAGAACAGATAAAGTTTTGGTGACAGAGAGAAAGGTCCAGGGAAATCACAGATCCAGCCTGTGACTCCAGAAGGGCCTGAGGTTCCTGCCACTTGAGGGCTAGGCAGGGACTGGCTGGCTGATGAAAGAACTACGGGACACTGAGGGGAAGGAGGGGAAAGGCAAGCAACAAGAGCCGTAGGAGAGAAAGATGTCACAATCTTTTTTCTCTGAGGACTTCAATATGTAGCAACCCCAGCAAGTGATAACAGTCATCCCCCCCCCCCCCCCCCCCCCCCCCCCCCCCAGGAGGAACAGAAGAGGGATCTCAGGCAGGCGTAGGAGTGGAAGAGTTGCATGAAGCAGATGCAGCCCGATGGGGCTGTGAATCCCTGGGACAGTGTGAATTCTGACTCTCAATGAAGTGAAAAAAAAAGTGACTCATCACAGTCATTACAGGAGCAATTAGGTTTCCTGTTATCAGGGCTCATTTCTTCACGTAGTAGCAATAAAAAAGAAAGACATTTCCTTCCTCTTTTCTCAGAAGAGCAACTCTATTCAAGGGACATAACCACTGCTCTCTGTTCAGGAAAGTCAGCAAGTACCTGTTCCCCATTCCAGGATGGTGGGGAGCACAGCTCTGCTTCTCCTCAGTGAGTGTATCAAAAGGGGCTATGGGCTGGGTGTTGCGGCTAGAGAGGGCACTGAGAGGGAGAACTGGTGCCTGATGCTGTCCCATGGCATGGACAGCCCATGCAGTAGTGGGGAAGGAGTCTGTGTCCCTGAAAAGTCACAGGGACCCAGTTGGCTTCAAGGACTGGAGGGAGGGCAGCGGGATCTCCATCTCCAACACAGACTGTGCCAGGCACTGTGGGTATCTGCACCTGCCAATCCTCTAGCATGGGTCAATGTCCAGCGAGAGGGGGGTTTCACTCTGCCCAAGGAAGGGTAGACTGGTTTGTCCAGTTTGGAGATTGCATTGGAGCAGTGTAGACTCTTGGCTTTCTCTTTGAGGCTGGGGGTGGTGGTCCTAGTTGTTGTTGGGGAGGAAGGAGAGTGGATATATATAATAAGGCTAGTAGGTATGAATGTGGTGGGAACGGGGAGGCCATGCTGCTGCTGGAGCAGTGGGGATGTGCTGGTGGCAGGTGTTTCAGTGTCCTGACAGACAGGAGCAGGCCTTGCCATAATCTGACCCTAGGACGGCTTTGTCCAAGTCCAGCGTTGCTCGTCTCTGTGCTGGGGATACAGGGACTGGGAGGCTCTAACAATAATGTCCCTGGGACTCTGCCTAGTGCTGCACTGCAGAGCATGCAACCCTGGCATGATCCCTGAACCTTCCCTCACACATCTTCCCATAATGCTGAGTATGACAGCTCTGGCCTTTCACTGCCAGCCCTTGTTGGAAAGGTTGGGATCAGCCCAAAAAGGCAGTAGCTGCTTGAGCTGACCCCTCCCCCTCCCCCCCAACCCACCACGCTACACCAC